ATGAAGAAGGCGTGTCCACGTGTGTTTCGAAACATATCGTCGCTCACATCACGAACTAACACAATTAAATTCAATTGTGTTAGTTCGTGAAATCAAAAAAGCGCGTCAAAATACGCGCTGTTGTTGTTAAGGACTTTTTATGTGGTAAAGAATACAAAATTGCTTGACAACCAATACGCGCTCGTTTTGACAACAGCCAGTTTGCAATATTATGTGTACTTGAAAACTGTGACACTTTCCGTAAATAATACAAATCTTAATAGTGCGAACTCATTTGACAATATGAGGCTTATAAATAAACACAATAATTACGACATCAAAGCTAAGGCGAAACGTCAATAAACAAGATTTGACTTGGCAGTCAAAAGGTCATATCGCTATGCTGTCATAAATCTACCGGCTCTTATATATTAACACATGTTGAATTACAAGCGATAGATTTAGAATGACAGAGACGATGAAGCAGTTAAGGGTAATACAAGTTGACGTTGTAAATGATAAATACATTCATAGAATAAATATCTTAATAGACGTTTGTGTCGTATTGCACGGTAAATTAAAATTCAATCGTCTCCCATGCTTCAATACAGTTATTTTGGATCTCTGATCAAGCGGTTTTATTTTTTTTTTAATGCTCTCAATACTATTCTGAGAATATGGATTTGTTTACCGTATTGAAGTTTTCTTTGACATTTAGGCTCCGTTTACACTAGCGTGCGTTATACGCAAACGCAAGACGCGGTTGTTACACTATTACCAGTCTAATATGCTGCTGAGCTGCGTCATCGAGGCGTGTTGTGCAAGTCAGGTCGCGCCAGCAAACGCTTGGTTTACACTGGCACGCTTCAAACGATAAGGAAAACGTGGCTTTCACACTATCTCCTCTAGTTGAGGTTCTTCGTCAGTTCGCGCCGGCTGAAGTTTCAAACGACACATTTCAAACTCAAACGAAAGCCTCGACAATTTTTTCCACTATTGTGTCATTCGCCTTTTCAATCGCCGATGGCGAAACGTATTATTGTATTTGTCTTTTTTTACCCAAATAAATCAAGTTTTTATTGAATATTATAGCAGAGTGAATGGGGAAAAAATAAGATTCGCGTAGGCTAAACCGATAAATACGTCTCCCTTAAATGGTTGGACTTGCCATTACCCCCGATTAAATTTGTCATACCAGAAGGCCTAGGGGATGCATCGTTGATCAAGGCCACAAAAAGTGTAAATAAGTATAAAACCAAGTGTGTGTAAACCTAACTTAAAGGTACGCGTCAAAGTGTCCACACTTAAAATTCTGGCGATGTTTTTTGTTTGCGTTTGCTTCATGTGTAAACCAAACTTACTTACTTTTCCATGTCTTCTTTCTGAGGTATCTAATGTCAAGTGGCTGACACCGGGAATCGTTTCTTTCGTTGTCGAACACTTGTAGATTACTTAAGTGTAAGTCAAGTTTAAGGAGCATCTCGCATTTTATCGACATCATTTATTGATCAGGAAGAACAGTTCTGATCTGTTTGACCTCTGAAGCATTTAGGCCTACATATCTGAATTCAGTCGGTTGTCTTTGATCGGAAGTTGGCCTATTCTACATGCCTTTAGGATAGGCGGCATTTTCTTCACCAAGTCAGTTCAATGTATACAGTACTGATTAGATCTTATATTATTACGTCACCGCCTCAGTATTAACTTATCGAAATTTAGTTTAATACTGTATAACATTTTTAGGACATGCGACATAGCGAATGCAGTCACTAGCATTTTGGTTTGATTTAGAAGAGTGTTCAGAGGATATCTTTCACCTTGACTATTCAACTTTATGTCTAATTAATACCGTAAGTTATATTAATCTAACTCATATTTTCTTCCCTTCCAGAATTGAATTCGCCTAGAGGCCACGATGACATGTTTGACTAGCAAGATAGCAGCGAAGTTAAGGGTGGTATCCTTTATTGTGCGCTAATAATATTGAAGATATTGAAGCTCCCTCTGACTTATCCATCAAATACCCTTCTTGAATTTAAGCTGGGGGTGGCAGGGGTGGCGCCAGCGGGTGCCACGGGCCAGAGCCCTGCCGTTCCCGTAAGGGAGTAAAACCACAATTGGTCTGGGAGAAAAAAATGTATATGTATTTTCTACATATTAATTGACTCCAAAATCGATTAAATAAGCCTTTGAAACTCCTAAATTGTTGTATTTTCCGGAGGCTGCGCCCCTGGAACACTTTGGGGAGATTTTTTAGCGATAGGCCTACCCGACCACGCCCACTTCTTTTCGTCGGGGATCTCGGACCCCCTGTTGGGCAAATCCTGGAGCCACCACTGGGGGCGGAAGGCGGCGGTGGTGGGGACAGGGTACAAGTTGTGGTAGGAGCCATTAAGATGTTGGGCGACGTTTCGTATACGAGGGGTCAATGTATAATTATAGTAAAATCATAAATATTTGTGAATAGATAACTGGAGTGATATATATTATTGAAGCACATTTTTCCTTTATGTATGTTTTAGCTCAACCACTTTAACATATACTAGTCACGCGATTACTGTAAGCAGTTATACAGTATATGGCCTATACTAACCAACGTAGCACAGTGTATAACCTCAGCGATATTTGTTGTAATACAGTACTCTAAGTATTGAACTAAGAATTAACATTATTTATTTAAGTAAGGCGGGAATACTGTTGGCTGACCGTGTCTTATAAGACCCACATATACAAGCAAGTCATCTAGATGAGCGATAATGAAATTGAGCGAAGACTGAACAAATTTGCTATACTGACCATTGTCCATAATGCTATTGTAAACTACTCTGGATCGAGATGGCACGATCTTGTATATGTAAACGCTTAAAGTGCTTTTGGGTTCTCGGTTTTCATATCGGAATCCATAGCATTCGATTATTGTACGTTGGTATTGCTATAATGCGGGAATGCGCCAGGGTGGTGATGGATGGTGACTCCGAAGAGTATTTGTGTCTTTATTTTGTTTATCTTCTCATCCATGTCAGTTCTGTCATAAAATAAATATACATAAAATAAATAGGCCTAAATAAATAATTAAAATAAAATTAATTAATTCAAAAAAAATATTAATGCAGAAAAAAGGCTACATATACACTCTGTAGGTGAAAAACGTCGCCGCGAGCAGCTCTATACAAAGAGATGGATACGTGCGCCTTATAAGATTACCGGTACTTTATTATTATTATTATTATTATTATTATTATTATTATTATTATTATTATTATTATTATTATTATTATTATTGTTGTTGTTGTTATTGTTATTATTATTATTATTAATATTATTATTATTATTATTTATTATTATTATTGTTATTATTTATTATTATTATTATTGTTATTATTATTAATAGAGTAGATGTAGGACGTGGTGGTTGAGACGATTGCCTTCCAATCCTAGGTCCAAAGTGGCGGTACAGGAATTTGTCCTCGGCCCTAAAACATATCCACTTAATAAGCCTTGATTGAGACTTAGTTTATAAGCATCGTATAATTTTCATACATTTAAGAGGCCCCGAATACCTGAACAGATCTCCGCCTATAAATATTATTAAAAACTCTCAAGTAATATAATTGCAACTAAAATTATCCCTCCTTTTATCAATCGCTTCAAAAATAATCTACAATCTAAAATATGTCGCAACTTAAATACCCGCAACTGAATTACTCGCAACTAAAATTATCTAAAGGGCCTAAGAATATCGCCACTCTAAGGCCAAATAAAAAAAATACTAGTTTCTCGTCCCCTCGCGCATCCTTCTCTGCCTCACTATTTTTCCCTTTATTTTACGAAATGTACGAAAATTTGGCTAAGTCAGAGCAGCAAAATTCCTCCCTCTCGATTGTTCGTGGTTGGGGATACATATACTATGAATCATGTCTAGTGCTTCTTTTATTTGCTTTCAATGTGTCTACTTGGTAAAAGTGAGAAAGTAGTAGCTGTTTCCCATCAACCATATTGGATTTGCCATCTCGGAGTAAAAAAAAAGAAGAAAAAAGTGCCCTCATTCTCCCTTTTTTCAAAATATTAGGACGAGAAACTACTTTTTTTTCTTATTTGGCCTAAATAAATCGCAACTAAAATAACGGTAACTAGATTTTGTACTGTATTGAAAATAGCCGTTGCAAGCAGGGAGCAGTGAAATTGGCACGTGACAATGGGCACGTGACAATTTCAGATTGTGATTGGTTCAATGACTTAAATATGGGGGAGATTTATATCAGCATGTAGAATCTCTGTTGATCAGTGCGTCTACTAATTGCCTGTCGATTTGTCTTAAGGAAACGTTTCGATATTCATTTCAGTTAGGCGATATCCATAAACATCTTTGACGATTTAAGAAAACCTTTCAACGACTGTCTTACCCAATCGCTCACTCTTAACCTTACATATATTCATGCATTTCTTCTCTGGTATGTTTCAATTCCTTAAACATGAATACTCCGCCTCCCATTTGGTCTTATGTACTTCTTCATCTTTATTTATGCCCTTATTTTCGTACGCTCCAGTTTGCCTGTTTACTATAATGTCATTGCATTTGTTCACTCCTATAAATACTATAATAAGTGCTTTTTAAGTATTGTTACTCCAAAGATGGCAGTTGAACTGTTGAAAAATGTTTGTTCCAAATTTTTATAATAAAACAGCTAGGCTCAGCCTAAATGGTATCCGTTGTGATTATATATATTATATATATATAAGCCTCCGTGGTCTAGTGGTTATGACACTCGCCTTGACAGCGAGAGGTCGCAGGTTCGAGTCCCGCCAGAGGCATTTTATTACACAATTCCTTTATTCATTTATTTACAGGACTACATTCGTTGAGAGCTATGCTACACGATG